TCCGTCATCGTGCACGGCTCGCTCAATGCAGCCCCCATGGGCCATCCACCCAAGCGTTTCACCACGTGCTGGCCTACGAGAAAACGGTTGTCACCTTCACAATATGTCAATGCTTGGTCAATATCAGCAAAACAAAGAACATGGTGGGGAAGAGGAAAACCTCGTCGACGACGCATGGTACTAATATTTACAAGCCTGCCCTCGCAACGTGGAGTCTTTTTGATGAGAACAGCATTTACGTTCAACTTTCGATGAGCTCTTTTCATCATTTCCCGAACGTGCCTCACTCCCCTCGTGATTGATGCTGCTTTGAAAAACTGTGCGGCGTCAACCTTGATCATTTGTAGACAACGGTCTTTTCGTTGGCCACATGGACAGCGAGTTCGATATGCGTGAAGAAGAGATTAATGAGATACCCTTTCCTGCAGAGATTCCTTGATATTCGCCTGCCGCCACAAGATCCATGCGTGCTCCTTCGCATGGAATTTTATGAGCCGTATGGCTCGTGCCACTAGCTTGAAAAACAACTTATTGGGATTGTGCACGTCGCTCACGATCTCCCTGTCGTGGGCGTGTGTTTTCCCGCATATGATACCCCGATGTTCCCCATGGCATTTGTCCTTGTAGTTGTGGTATGCATACTGAAGATGTCCCTCATGTAGTAAAACGTGTTTTGTCCATGCTTCCGGGATGCACGAATGGAAAAGTAATTGTTTCCTCTCCAAGAAAGTGTTCGGGGTCTCATGAATCATCAACTCATAATGGGGGTCGTCGAGATACCCGCGTCCCAGGCGCCACCAATAACCCATGTTGCTTGCAAAGGCGATTTGTTTTGTATTTTTGTCTACGGTGACAGCGACTTGCGAGGAGGATACATATGGAAAAAGATGAGAAGGATCAGGAGGTTGACCTTTGTTCCAATCAGCACGACGAAAAATGTGCGCACACTCTTCACCAATATGTCCAATATGGAATCTGCGTAATACCCGCGCCACCTCGTTCTCTACGTGGCTCTGCAACTCGAGCGGATCATTCGGGATGGGGACGTGCCAGAAATGCGTGGACTTGAAAACGTCGCGCCTGTCTTCAAAATATTCCTGCAAGTGCGCCGGAATATGTTGAAGATGTGTAATATCGAACTGTTTGGCGTGCTGGATATTCTTGTGCAGACGGTCAATTTGTTGTTGTCCTTCCCCCTGGATCCCAGATGCGCTTCCTGAGAAAATACCCTAATTCTCTGTAGTATTGAATGCATACCAAGCGGAGTACTGCCTTGATACACCTGCGTACTTGTAAAACAGCTTCTCGGGAATGTGTGTTTACTTTGATAATGTTCACGTTGCAGTTGAATATACCAGAGCTGTTTGAAAACCGAAATGTTTTACGCTGTACCCTTGTCAGCCAGATCAACTCGAAACTTTGTGCGATATGCCATGCGCAGAGCAGCAGCTTTACGGGGTTCGAGTTCTGCCACACGAGCTTGTAGTTTAGCCTGGTGTTAGCATCCCCCAAGAAAACTGCCAACCATGATGCGAAACCGCTTGAATACATGCTTTGCTGAATGCGGCTCCGATGAAACCCGTATTCTCGCTTGCAGTAGACGACTAAGTGTTCGAAATTCATACAATGGCTGCCGTTGTACGCTTCTGTTTGCCAGCCCGTGCGCTCGTACCATGTGCGTGAATGCAGAAGATGTCCAACGTTTAATTATACTTCACGTTCTAGACTAGGATATGAACGAAGCCTGGGCCAGGGCTGGGAGCGTGGACCACGAAGATCCAGACAAAGATGCTCTCTTTGCTGAGTGGGTGCCTGCAAGTGTTGGATCACAAACTTCTCGTACTTCAGAATCCGACTCTCTGCGTGCCACAATACACATACGAAACGAAAGTGATAAGGATGATGTTTTTTTCCAAATCCCATACCGCTTACAGTAACTGTCCTTCCCGAAGGTCCCAATGAAGTTGATGCAGTGCTCCTCAAACCTTTTTACTATTCCGGGTGTGTGTTCTACTGCATGCGCATGTTTGTGTGCGCGTGCGACGTTCGCCTTGCCGACATACCAATGTGGATCGCGCTTCATCCACCCAAAATACAACGCGGTCTGGCATGGGAACTTCTCTGGGGCCCACAGCGCACAGTACTGACACGCGACGAAAACTCGCCATATGTGAGAATGGAGACGACAATGCAGAAGGGTTTCTTGGATACTGCGGGAACAACCACGGAGTATAACGCGAAGGTGGTGATGTCTGGCATGTGTGTGCGCTAGATCATGCAGAGACAACACGTGCGAGATAGACGCGGCGATGCTCCAAACAATCATGTCTGACCGGTGCGTTTTCAAGTGTGCTGCAAAAGACCATTCAAAGCATATCCCAAGACATTGCTGAAGAAGGTCATAGGTGACGGGTGCCTGCGCCGGGAAACCGTCTGCTGCCCACTGGAATATGATACGTCCAATGTCACGGCCAATATTTGCATGTGTACGCGTGCGGTGTGCATGATGTCCATGACTTACATGAAATACTTTTGCCATACCGTGTACGAGAGTAGGGCCAGACACGTGCTTCATTAACATGTCCATGTGTGCTCGCGAGACCCATGTAGCGTTGATAGTGTGTGTAACGCATAGTATTCGTCTAACTACGTTGGTATAGAACATGTTGGAGAATTCGAACGCGAAGGAAACTTCTGGAAGAAATTGCCAAATAGGATCGCCAAATCCTGCCCAGCCTCACGACAGCAAGGAACGTGGACAGTAAGAGAGATGTACCCACTTGTTTTTCACCTCGGGCGCATCGCCTGGCACCGCCGAGCCTTAGGACCTCGGAGCAGGGGTTTTACTGCAGCGACCTTCATCGCTAGTGCCTGAGCCCGGCTACAAGCAATGACGAAACTGCAATACTACACACTATGAGCATGATGTGCGAAGCAATCATGTCAAGAAACCTGACAAGCACCAGAAGACACAGAATTGCACCTGTGAGCAGGACCTGGACTGTGTTCGAAAGCAAACTGTGCAGGCTGGGCTCGATATGGAAGCAGATGTCAAAAGAGCGGAAAGAGACAAGGGTGGGGCGGACGAGAAAGGCAGAGAGAGAGAGAGAGAGAGCCACATTCTGAAAACGATCCGCTCTCCATCTGTGAAACGGTTGCCAATTCTTAGGCTTCAGAGTCATGGTGAGGAGGAGGAGGAGGCGGAGGAGGAGGAGGAGGAGGCGGGCGCTGGCCCAGCCATCTGCCGCCGGGCATTGCCGCGCTGCTGCATGGTGTACGGGGTGCCGCGGCGCGGCTCGTGTTCCGCCGGGGCAGCGGCGGCCCGCCCGCGCGCTCTGGTGCAGCCACTCCACGCGGTGGCGCTGGCCGCCGGTCGCCGACCGCCGCTCTGGGCTCAAGAGACGGGGGTTTATGCAAACGGGGGTCAGCCAGAGAGCCGGATCCAGCAGGATCCTGCATGGCCAGGGGTGCATTGACCCGTGCTTGCACGCAGGATCTCGAAAGATCCTGCAGGATCTTGCAGGATCCTGCAAGGCCTAACTGACCCGGGTTTGCAGTGACCCGGGCCAGTGCGTCCCCGATGCTGCACGGTGCGGCGGGTGCCGTCGCGCGACTCGTCGGCGTGGTGCTGCGGCAGCGGCGAGAGTCAGGGGCAATTTTGGTGGGGATCGGCCCGACGCCGCGCCGCCCATGTGGCCCGAGGCCTCGAGGCTCCACATCCCTGGGGCACTGGCATGGGGCCGAAGTCGTACTCACACGTCTTCGGCTCACGACGTTGGGGATCTCACGAGACCACAAAGTGTCAGGGGCAACGCTTGGGGGGGGGGGTAGGCTCAGCAGGGGCACATCGATCGCCCATAGATCGCCGACAGGGGCCCGATAGCCCACCCCGCCCAGGAGCATGCGGATTCGCCATTTCGGGCATATCGCCGATCCACCGGCGATGTATCTCCAGTTTCAGGTCGATGGTTCCTCCCCTCCCTTGGCAAGTGCCCCCCCCCGAGCGTTCCCCCTCAGAAGAGGGGGCGTAGGTACTGTTGGGCGCCCGCCAGATCTTCTGGGCAGTGTGGTCCGCCAGCAGCCAGTGGGCCGCAGCGGCGGCGAGCCCGCCAGCGCGATGCGGGTCACCAGGGTCGGCTCCGCCAGGAAGATCGCGGCACAGGGGATTTCCTAGTCGGCAGCGCGAGCGGTCGCGGGTGCGAGGAACGAGTCCGGAAGGGCGCGCCGAGCGCGAGGCGCGCGGAGCAGGTCGGAAAGCAGAGAACGGCCGCGGAGGAGGAAGGAGAAAGAGGCCCGACCGCCGAGAGTCGGCGGGCGATGGGCGCGCCGGCGGCCTCGGGCACCGCAGCACGGCACAGGGGAGCAGGCGCAGCAGTACTCCGACTCGCACGCCTGGCCCTCGATCGCAGGCTCCGTAGCTCTAGCTCCCTGTCGGGGGAAGCAGAGATCCAGACCTCAGTCGCACGGGTATGCAGTGTGACGCTGGTTACCAGGGTCGGCTCCGCCAGGAAGATCGCGGCACAGAGGAAAAGGCGCAGCAGTATTCCGACTCGAACGCCTGGCTCTCGTTGGCAGGTTCCATAGCCGAGGAAGCAAAGATTCCAAACCCCAGTCGCAAGGGTATGCAATGTGACATTTCTGCGTAGCACGGCGGAGTGCTCGGCAAGGCGGCCTTCTGCAGCAAGTGCGCAAGGGCCGACACCACGGCCAGGAAGCGTTCAGCAAGAACAGGGTCACCACGGAGGGAGACAGCCGAATCGTGAAAGTACTCGAACGCCTGCTGACGCCAATGGAGCTCGTCCGAAGTGCGACGGATAGCACGATCAGCGGAAAGACGAGCCCAGTCGCGGTGCCGTGACTTGCCCAAGAACGAAGCTTTGGCGCGCATCGCCCACGCTATCCTGTGCCGCCATTCTGAGCCAGTTTGAGTCAAAATGGCTACATAGGGCCAGTGGGGAGGAGGAGGACGAAGAGGAGGGGCTTGGGAGGAGAAGGAGGAG